CAATGTCCAAAACCGCCCTGTGTAATAAAATCATCGGACATACACGATAATTAATTTTCTATTTTATTATATTAGTTGCAAATACTTTTATAACACGGACTAGCTGCATGCAAAAATGAACATTAAAAAGTATTATATTCGACTAATAACATTAGTCGCCGCCATCTTCGCCAAACATCATGTGGTGTCGAAAAATGATTAGGGATGCCCAATCGATTGTAATCGATTATTGAATTTTTAATGAACTGTTGTATATTTTTTAATCTGAATTACATTTTAATTTATTTCGAATAAAGTTGCAAAAAGAAGCTACAATAAAAATATCATATTACCATTTCTTTATATTCTTTTATATTATTCCCTACAAGTATAATTTTAAAAACCTACTATACCTATTGAATGTCATACTCGATTTTGAATAGGTAGTTAGAATAATGCTGAAGAAAAATATTCGTAAAGATTTTTTTCAGGATTCAGGATTTTCTAATGATCGTTTAGACAGGAGTATATTTTACGTCTTACTAAACGATAACTTACGAGTTTACGATGATTAATTTAAAAAGAAAAAACAGTTATCGTTACTGCATTAATTATAAATGTGTTTTTTTTTAAAAAGAGCAATATTGCAGACTATATACAGATATTATTATTAATATTGTTACAAGTATGGAAGAAGTAGAGACGTACGTATTATTATAAGTAAAGTAGGACAGTGTTATGGTATTAATATTATCGTATGACAAAAGATGATATACACTATATAGATGGTGTACTGTTTGTAACGTACGGCTATAATAAATCTTAGGAAATGTTCATAAGTCGTATCATATTTGGCGCTCCTATTTTTGATGTCACTAAATGGTCACTTGTCAGTCTCTCATGAAAAAAATACGATCTACAAATCGATGCAAATCAAACATACTAGAATCGATTCTCGATTAAATCAACATGCCTAATATAGACACAGAACATTATTGACGATAACTTACCGTAAATACAAGTAAATGTATAGAAAAATCATTAAATTAATAAACATTACGCCAGTATTTTCCAGAAGGAGTAGGTAGAGGTGTGTAAGTACTGTTATGTTATACATCCCATGTAATAGGGGATGCGCGTATTGCCAAACACCGGACACTAATCCAGACTCCGTGCTACTACTGGGAAATTCAAGTTATAAAAACCCAATAATAATTTGGCCGACCCTGGGATCGAACCCAGAATAGAACAGTTTTTCTGTCTGTCACAAGGAACAGATGTTCCAACTATGCAAAAGTATTTCTTGAATCGTTTGAAATATAGCTAATTCTTGAATAAGTCCGATTCGAGAGGTTTCTGTATCGACATCGGACAAGGATTTTTCAGATCTATATCGATCTGGAAAATCGATTCTGTTACTATAAACATCCGATTAAACGATTTCAAATGGACATGCCTACTTTGTACCGTCATCTCTAATTCTGTCAAAGTTACATTGGTAGGCGTCGTTTGCAATTGTAATTGTCTTTGTACATAATTGTATCGGTGTTGTGGTGACTTTCGGGACTATATATTGAACATTACGACTTGGCTATTTTAACGGACTCTGATTGCTTTCAAGAACGACTTAGCTTGCTGTGATTTTCGGAACTGTGTACCACTCAAACGATAACCTAGCATTCATAAACGGACTTACGCATACGCAATGGAAAGTGTATTTTGTGTAAATAGCGGCTCTGCTGGTGGTACAATATTGTTTAAAGATGAACAGAGAAGCAATCGTGCAATATTGCTGTAATTGCATCGTTGTACGCAGAACCATCGGTTGCTGCGCCCATGTTATGACAATTATTTGGTACTTGAGCTTTACGAGACATCAAAATAATATCGACATCCCTGCACAGTTTTTAGACAATATTCTTATTTCCAATTTAGAAAACGAACAATAAACATGAAATTAATCTGTGTTTTATTTCTAATTCAAACATAATAAGTTAATGTACGTGTAAAAACAACTTATACTACCAATTAGGTACTAAGTAGGTAGGGCTGGTTTCATAGTCACGCATTTGAACAGCGCCGTCCAGACGCACACGCTTGCAAATGTACTAGATAGTAGTCTATAATATTCACGCTGTTCATGCGCGCGCTGTTGAAACTTGGTTGAAACCGTGGTTGATACGCTCGCTGTTCGACGGCATGTCTAGCGGCGTGACTGACAACCTAAATCCTTATACATTTAGGTACTAGGTATCTTACCGTACCGTATATGCTAATGACCTAAGCTAATGACAACATCTAAATGCTAACAGTCATATACATATATTTTTATTTTTACATTAATACACACAAACATTATCTCTCATTTCAAAACCAATGCTCAGAAAGCAGGTTTGTTAACTACATTCTATGCATTTATACGTTGCACTTACATACACTTAGGCTTTAGAACAAAAATTGCATACCTAATTACGTAGGTTACGATATGTAATAAAAATAGCTAAATGTTTTAGGACATCGTTTTTCAGTTTGTTAAAAATCACTCAGATCTATGAAAAACCGTAATATTCGTGTTTCGATTATAACCTCAAATACTGATACTTTTTTTGAAATATATCTATTATGCAGCTAGTCCGCTATAAAAATAAGATCAAATAGGAATTTACTAATGATCAACAATAAAATACATAATTTTCCGATGCTCTTGGTTCCAGGGCGAACAATGTATGGACGCAGAGCAATGTCCTTTTCGACATTCGCAAGGGAATCAAAACCTACAGGGTACTTCCCGTGAACTCAGAATCTTAAAATTTGGTACGAAGCAACGTATTATAGCACAGATAAAGGAAAAATTGCGAAAAGCATAAATTTTTAGTTATATCATATAATAAAAATATGTTAAATAATTTTAATTCAAATTCAAATTTCTTTAATTGCCAAAAAAAATTCGAATTTCTTCAATTTTAAGCTTATATACCTACGGATTTGTTCGGAAAACTCGGTGCGCGAGTCCGACTTGTACTTGACCGATTTTTTATATAATAGACGTGTGTAGTGTGACAAATTAATACACACACTCCATCTTAAAATAAGTAGGTGTTGTACCACTTAGATACTACATCTATCTTCGATTACGAATCAAAATGTATGCGCGATCTCACCCCTAAGAACTAAGATAGAATGCCTCGTTACCTGTAAAAAGGGCTCTCCAGAGATTTCGGTCGAGAGAACCTTTTTATTGGAAAAAAGGCATTCCATCTTAGTCCTCAAGAAATACAACGCATCTGCATTTTGATTAATAATGGAGAATAGATGTGGATGTCTATAGGCCACAACATCTACTTACCATAATATGGACTGTGAGCTCGTATAACACCCTTACTCTATTAAAAAAAAAGTTATTAATCAGGGGATTGTTTGGTTTAAATTCGCGCAGTCAGAAACTGACCGCTGACATCTGTCAAATTGTGAGTTTCTTTTTTCTATGAAATGCTTAAACTTTGAATTCGCTACATAGCGCCTGAATTTTTCTCCAGGGCCCCTATATTGACTATGACTTCCAGTGTAAATGATTAGTGAAATAAGAAATTTGATGGAAAAGTTATAATTATATAAAATGCATTGTTTAAATAATTTTGTGTCCTCATTTCTGAATAAAGATTTTTAGTTTTAGTAATAGGTATAAATCAAAAAATAATATAATAATATTCAACAGTCATAACATTTAATCTCAAGGATAAGTAAGTAATATTAATTTTTATCAAACATTATTTTATGTTTTAAAATTAATAAATTATTAAACTAATAATTCATCTAAAAGTATTATTAAAAACAAATTAAATATTTAATTTAAAAGTCTTTTAATTTATAACATTAAAAAAAATCTTTATTAACCCGTAACTGATTACTGCCGGACTAGGGACTTTCCCACATTTGCAATTAGGATTCGAGTATTTTTAAATATTTTGTATGAAATTTTCATTGAATGTTTATAAAATCTTTTATGATTTAGATTACATAATATTAAATTAAGTTACTTGTGTATAAAGTATTAAAAATTATTCATAAATAATTTTCAATCGTCGAAATTCGTATATTCGAACATTAAAGCATTTTATGCCCAAAAATGTTTTATTATTTTGCTTAATTTATTTGAATAATTCATATTAGGCGAGAAGAATGCATATATAAACCGTTCTTATGAATTTACGTCGAACCTTTTACGCCCCAGGAGGCAATAATTTAATTCGTAATATTCTACTGTATGATACCATGTTAGTAACCACCCTGGAAAAATTATGTAGTCGTTATCCCTATAAAATACGATTTTATTTGTTTTATAAAAGGGTGAAGAAATTAGAGCGTTTAGGTTCTAAATTTTGCAAGGAAAATTTTTATCTACAATACAAAAAAGTTGCGGTGACAAATGTCAACTTAGGGGTAGGTAGCGTGTTCTAAATTTATTATGCGAGATTAACTTGATTTGGTTCCTACTCAGCACTACTTTTAAGTGTTCATCAGTGCGTGCTTAGCAGTGAAGGAAGAATGTCATAGTATCATTTTTTCGTGTAATAGCAAAGTGATTTTTATTACTCTATAATATTTCGCAAACGGGATAATGTTATTATATATTAGAAACCAAGCGATAAGATTTGTCTCAGTGTCGTGAAGTCATTGGCAATAATAATTTAATTCTAACATATGTGTTGTGATCTAAGTTTAAAAAAAATTTGCCGAAGAACTATCTAAACAACAAGCTATTATTTAAGCCCGGGTATTTCTAGCAGCAAACTGAATAAAATGATTTTTATATTTCTAGTAGTGCTTTAGTGCCACATTACAAATATTTTTTTTATTAATTTCCAGAACATTGCTCTATACATATATTTGAACACAAACATCCATATTTCAAAATAAAATATTAACAATAAAAAAAGTTTATTACACATCGCATGCTAAAATAACAATTACTAAAAATAATGCTACATCAATCAAAGCAGGTTTTAACAGTGATTATTCCTTTAAGTTAACAAATCTGTTGGACATTCGGAGCCATTGAGTTCAACGGAGTGTCTTAAATGTAACCTAGATACACCATTTCGTTTCTTTTTATAAATAAATACCGTAACACCTATAACGACACAAGCTACTGTCAACAGTGAGCACCAAATTAAAACAATATTTGGTAGTGTAGACTCTTGTGTGATAGAGTCTTGATGATTTTGATCAATTTTATAGTTAACAGTTTTGTTAGAAACACTGTCGTCTCCACACGTAATACCATATACATTGTCTTCATGATAAACTTTATCAATTGATGTTACTTCCAGCAATCTCATTGTAGTTATTTTAATACTCCTGACAATTTCTTTGCACGAAAGTGGATTTCCACCTAAGCTTAAAGTTCTGAGCTTACTTAATGAGTGCATAAGATTTTCTACATCTACAGACCTAATATTATTATAATCTATTATCAGTTTAATTAATTCAGTGCATTCATGAAATACATTCACATCCAATTCTGAAAAGTTATTTCTGGAAAAGTCTAAAACTTCAGTCCTATGTAAACCTTTAAGACTTCCATATCGCAATCTTTCCAAACGGTTTGAAGACATATTGAGGTATTTTAAAATTTTAACATTTTTAAAAGTGCCTGGAAGCAAACTTGAAATGTTATTATTACTTAAATCTAAAGACATCAGATCGTCAACCTTTTGAAAAAATGAACTGCTTATATTCAAAATTGTGTTACTGCTTAAATCTAAGCTAACTAGTTCTTTAAAGAAAGTTAAGTTAATATATGAAATTTTATTGTGAGAAAGATTTAATACCGTAATATTTGATAAAGTGTTTGTTTGAGGATTATTAAAGTTAATTATTTTATTATAAGCTAAATGTAAAACTTTCAAGTTTGGAAAACTTTTGAAATCAGTCAGAGATAAATTGGAAACATTATTAAAAGATAAATCAAGGTACATAACATTCGGTGCGTTTGAAAATGAATTTGATAGTTGTTTTAGTTTATTATTATTTAAGTAAACAGCCTTCAAATTTTTGAAAACGCTGCTATTTAAATTGAAACTCGAAAGGTGATTGAAAGAAATATCTAAACTATATAGATTATCTAACCCATAAAAATTATTAGGTTCTATAAATTCAATCTCGTTATGTGAAAGGTTTAATCTAGCCAGTACAGGGAGATCTATAAAAGCCATTTTGTCAATTCGATTTATTCTTAAATTACTTAAATCTAAATATCGCAAAAATTTTGCTGGGCTAAACATATTGTCTCTTATGTTTCCTAATAGACTATTACCGGTCAAATTTATATATTGTAAATTTAATAATGGCAGAGATTTTGATTGTATACTTTTTATTTTATTATTTGATAAATCTAGTTTTATTAATTGATCTTGTCTAAAAAATAGATTCTCTTGTAAAAAGTTAATACTGTTGTTGTTCAAGTATAAATGTGTTAAATTAGTTAAAGTAGTATATAAAAATGCTAACGATGAAATATTGTTATGTGACAAATCCAGCACATGCAAAGAATTCATTTCATTGAAACTGTCTTTATCGATGTACTGTATACTATTAACACTTAAGTTCAAATTAGCCAGCATTCTCATCCATGTAAAAGCTTTTGATTTTAATGCTGTAATGTTTTGATTGTATAAACATAAATATTTTATCTCGCTTAGTCCAACAAATGTGGTGTTTGTAATTTCGCCTGATATAAAATTATTTTCTAAATTAATATAAGTAAGATTACTTTTCTCAAAGGATCCGTCTTCAATTTTCTTGACCTTATTATTATATAAATTTAAATACTGAAGTTTTGCATTGTTTATAAACATTTTAACTTCTATTGTAGACATTATTCTGTTGTTACTAAAATCTACAATTTTTAAATTAGGCGCTTGGTTAAAACAATTTGATTCCAATATTTCGATTGCATTATGGGACATATTTAGTATTTCTAGTGAAAATAGACGGTTAGTTTCATATCCTGCGATTTTTTTCAATTTATTAAAAGACATATCTAACTCTTTTAATGACTTTAAATTTATTAACATCATGTTTAAAGTTTCTATCTTATTATGATGTAAAATTAATTTTGTTAAATTCTTTAAAGAACTTAAACTATCATCCGATAACATTTCAATTTGATTATTCTGCAAGTAAAGATATTCGAGACGTGGTAAATTATTTAGTACTCCATATTGTATATCAGTGAGGTTGTTATTTGATAAATCCAACACCGACAGTGAGGTATCTGGCGACAAGTACAAGGAACTCGGAGAAAGACTTTCCATGTCATTATTTGATAAATTCAAATAATTGAGGTAGGCAAAATTCTTAAAGGCTTCATTTTTAATAGTTTTAATATGATTACCAGATAAATCAACCACAACGCTTTTTGCGTAATATTTAAATGAATATGGTTCTATACTATTCCACGTATTTTCAATACCCCTTATTTCACGAACTCTTGAGTCGAAATTCGTTGAACCAAAGAAACCTGCAGTCAGTGCATCAATCCTTGAATGTGATATAATAAAAATGACATATGGTTCAGAACTACAAGAATACACTTGGGCACTTCCGGCGTAAATTTCACATCTCACTGTATATTTACAACTGTCGACATAGTCAGTGACAGAGCAAGAATTTGTAGGATATGCAGGTTTTGCAACCACGAGCAGAATGATGTAATCTGAAACATGTTATTATTATTTTGATGTTTTTGTAGTATACATGTGCAAATCTGCTAGGCAGTAAAGCGCCTTTTTAGCCTAGGAGGGTTAGCCAAGTTGATATTATATATATATATGTATAAGTAACTGGCCGCTGTGGCCCACAGACATATACAATTATTCTTGGTTAAGAATCAAGATGCAGATGCGTTGTTACCTTTTATACCACGTGACATAACGTTATGATGTATCATTTCTATTCATTCTTTAGTTTTCTACTAGCGTTATTGATTTAGCTAACTTCCGTCCATCTTGGTTTGCAGTATTGTCTTATTATTCAGAGTTACAGCTCACAGAAAACCAACGTAAAATAGCAGCTTAACGGTGCTGTGTTTCGTATGGTGAGTGTAGAGAACTGGAGACTGTTTTTACTGGAAAAGAGGCATTCCATCTTAGTCCTCACGGGTGACAACGCGTCTGCATCTTGAGTCTTTATTGAGGATAGATGTAGATGTCTATGGGTCACAGTAACCATTTACCATCAGGTGGACGGTGTGCTCGTTTGTACCCTATCCTATAAAAAAAAAGTTACAGTATGCCTTATTCGTCAGCCCCGTTCGTGGGTTACAGTAGTCAATTGCTATCAGGTGGGCTTTTAGTAATTTTTTAATTTATCAAAATATTTTAAACAGTTCAAGATTGTAAATAAAAGTAATGTAACTATTAAAATTGCACGGTTAATTGATCAGTTTGTATCAATTTTCATCACTTTTACAACAAACCGAGCATAAAAACTTGTGTACCATTTCGCAAGTTCTGCCTACCAGCCAGCATCTTCACTAAAACAGATATTGTTAATTTGGGCCTTTGTCTTTGACCTTGTATTATTGCCTACCTCTGGTCTTATCACATAAGTATTATACTTAGCATGGGTAAGTTGCTGTTTGATATATATTTAATAATTAATTATTAAGTTAAGATCACATTCACACACAATTATCATTCATCATTATCAAGATTCAGAAACTATTTTTGTTTTACAGAAGAGGGCCATTAGAGCTATTTACAATCTAGAACCGAGAGAGTCTCTTAGAGATAAATTTAAAGAAATTAATATATTAACTTTGGCCTCTCAGTATATTTACGAAAATTTAATGTATGTTCACAAAAACAAAGATAGTTTTAGTAAAAGAAGCGATATACATTCTGTAAACACTAGGAACAAACACAAGTTAGTGATACCAGTTTCTCGACTCCACAGAGTCAGTAATTCATTCTTGGGGCAATGTATACGCTATTACAACAGGGTCCCGGAAAGTGTACAGGTTCTCTCTATTACCAAGTTTAAATGTTTTATTAAGCTGAAACTGTATAAAAAGGGTTATTATAGTATAAATGAATACATGGTTGATAATAACCCCTGGGAATGAGGTGATCGCTTCCAAGCAGTTTCTAAAATAAATTTTGTAAATAGTTCGTAATCATTTATATTGTAAAATTTATTTAAAAAAAAAAGTCCCGCTGGGTTTCTTGCTGGTTCTTCCCAGGACAGAGGGTTTTTTTCGAACCAGTGGTAAAGTAAAAAATGACTTTCAATAAGAATTACACATGTAATGTATATTGAATAAAAAAATATTCTTTTCTATATTCTATTCTATCAAAAATTCTTCTGCACATTTATTTATACACTACTAATCATAATTTTCCCTTTGTTATTATATTTTATGAATAAGTTTAGTAACAGATTAATCAAATTTAATTAACTGCTTACATATAAACACTTTTTCCGCCATTGTTGAAATACACGTTTTACAGAATTTGTAGTTTTTCAAAATACTCTTAAACGAATAATCATTTTTTTTTATAAATAAAACCACAACTGTAATACAAATATAAGTATCGAAGCTGGACTGGGTTATTTTATTGCGTGTTGGAGTCAAATGATAAAGGAATATCAGCCATTGTTTGACTGTTATATTAAAGAAAAAGATAATAATTGGAGTAGTTGTATATCTGCTTCATATTTTATTCCCATATATTAAATTTTAAATATAAATATTCTCAATTCGACTGTAAGTTTTTTTTTTGTATGTTATGCGAAATCTTTGTCAATTTTAAACATATTTAATTATTTTATTTATTTAATAGGTTTTACTTCAGAGGTTACTGAGAGAGATAATTTATATGCTGCGGCCATATAGGTGACGCCATAATGGGTCGGTTCGACCGGGTAAGGACCACGCTTTCAAAGAATACCAGCGTAAAATAGCGACTAATGCTGTTGTATTTCGCACGGCGCTTATAGAAATCCGTAGATCCTTTTTACTGGTAACAAGGCGTTCCATCTATGTCGTGATGGATGTAGATGTCTATAGGCCACAGCATCCACCTAACCTAACACTAAAAAAAGTTGGTGTAATACAAATTTAAAGTAAAATTCCACTATTTAGGGCGACAAAATAGGGGATAAAGTTTATTAAATGTAACTATTTAGATGACATTCTACTTGTTCCCTTGAGCTTGTGATATTTCTTATTCAAATCAAAAAGGTAGATTAATTTAAATTTATTAAAATGTAAAAACTGACTTATAAAAATCTGTACAAATAAATAAAATTGAAGTGTCTGTTTGTAATGTCAAAATGACAGCTTTTTACTAATTGCATATTAAAGGATATACGGTACTAATAACAAAAATACAATTTTTTAAGTTTTTGTCTGTCTGTCTGTCTGTTTGTTCCTTATTTTGACGGGATTTTCACTTTCCGATAGCTGATGTCACAAGGAGTAACTTAGTTTACTTATATTTTAGAAAAAGAATTATGGTTCCGCGCAAAAAAATTAAAGCCCCAAATAACACGCGGGCAAAATCGCGGGGAACAGCTAGTGTTAAAATAAATTCCACATAACAGCTTCTGAAGTCGGGACAATAATTCTTATTTACACTATGCCTTAGCACCGACTTCTGAATCTGTTACTGTTTCCGCCTAGGGGGATGTTTAGAAAGCAGGTTGGCAACCGCAGTTTTGTATTAAGTTTCTCTTTTTCTTTCTCCTCACTAAATGACAATAGAAAGAGACAGGTATAGAGATAATTAAAACTTAAATATGTGTGACAGAATTATAACACAAAATAACACAAATTACTCCATTCCACTTCTGTTCTCTACCGGAAACATTTATCATGTAAGCTATAGCAACTGTTAGTAGAGACAGTAAAGACTACAGATATTTATATAGTGATCGCCCACACACAATATTCAATTATATGCGTAGTTTAAGGTCACTCCCACTAAGGATACTAAGGACTTTACTAGTGGCAGGAGTATTTTTCTGGCGTCTGGGTAGTTTCTATCCTCTTACCCATTTCTGCCACCAAAAAGCAGTGCTTGCACTGCTTTGTCTGGAACAAAGCAGTACAAGCACTGAGCCCTGAGCACTCTAAGAATAGCTAGCATAATTACAGGCTATGAGACATTCCATCTTAGTCCTCAGAGATGACAACGCATTTGTAGCTTTCCTTGTTTGCACCTGGCTGCAGGTCTCCACGGACTGCAGTTACATCTTACCATCAGTTGGACTTTAAGTCTGTAAGGCAACACCGTTTGAGAAGAACAGTATCGACACCAGGCGTATCAGACATTGACGCTGCTTTCTATCTAGTTTGAGCATTTTATGTAGTATGAATAGGCGCTAGTTGCTCCGGACATGACCACAAGAAATCCGAATTTTTTAATTGAATACAATATATATATAAGGAGCCAAATGAGCATACAGCTCACCCGATGGTATCCTTATATATATATATATATATATATATATATATATATATATATATAAGGAGCCAAATGAGCATACAGCTCACCCGATGGTAACTGACTACCGCCACCCATGAACAACTGCAACACCATGTCGTGTCGTAGTGGTAAATGATTCCACAGACAGGTCGTACGCGGAAGAAAACTCCTAGTGAAACGTACAGTGGTGGACCGCCAAGCATCTAGATGGTGTGGATGGTATCGGGATAGTTCGTGAAATTTGGCGGCTGGGATTAATCCGAACAATTCCTCAGAGCACTCCCCGTGGTAAATGCGAAAGAAAATGCATAGGGATGCAACATCTTTTCGCAGCGCCAGTGAATCGAGCCGATCGCTAATGACTTGGTTGGCGAAGAATCGAGCTGCTCTGCGTTGGATGCGGTCAAGTGGAAGGAACTGGCTCTAGGGAGCTCCAATCCAGAGATGGAAACATTATTCCATATGAGGCCGAACCTGCGCCTTGTAAAGTTGCAGGTGGTGTGCCGGCTGACATACTGTCCCGCTCTGCTGAGCACGAAAAGCTTTTTAGAGGCCAATTCGGCCTTTTCTTCCAAGTGACCACGAAACTGCACTTCACTCGATATGTCGACGCCAAGGATTTCGTCACTGGCTGAGGCAACAAGGGGCCTTGAAACTGAAGAGATATGACAAAGGAGTTCTTTTTAGCGGTAAACGCGTAAACTTGTGTCTTCTGGGGATTGAACTGGACTAGATTTAGTCGCCCCCAATCCGAGAGTTTGTTCACCAAAGACTCGACTCCAGACACTAGTTTGTTCCGGTACTCGGCAACGTTTTCCCGAGAAATATTGGCAAGGCTGTTGTATAGAGCATTACATGTGCTGTCATTCGCATAGCAATGACTGTTACCGCTTCGCAACATATCATTAATATTATGCAGAAGAAATAGCGTTGGTGATAGCACGCAGCCTTGTGGAACACCAGTATTAATAGTCTTGTAGTCAGAGCAGGCACCGCCTACAATGAACTTGATGCTCCGATCTGCAAGAATGCTGGTGATCCGATTGTACAATTTCTCGGGAAGCCTATAGAAAAAAAGCGATTTGTGCCAAACCCGATCGAAGGCTGCGAAGGCCTTTGATCGGATCTAAAGAGTCCGGTAGACCAGAAGATCACCAGCCAGAAGACCCCGACGAAAACCGTATTGGCGGTATTATTTATTATAAATATATATATTAATTTACATTATTTTTTTATTGAGAATTTAAGAATTTTTTAATGGGAAGGGTCGTTGGTAAGGGCAGAACAACGTCTGCCTGGCCAGCTGGTATGTATATAAATCAGAAAAAGCATAGAGAAGAATATAATTTTATAGAGCAGCATAAATAATCACGTGTTTGGCGTTCCAAGAAAACATCGCAAGGAAAACTGCATGTTTATGAAATTAAAAAGGAAATAGCTCTTCTAATAATATGAAATTTGTATTCCGCCATCAAGCATAGGGCAGTGCCAATACCCTCCTCTCTTGTGTTAGAGGAGCTTCACTTAGGGTTTACTTATTTTTTAATATTTATGTATTATTTCGCAAATTACGCATTAAAAAAGAGTTGTATATTCCCAAATGTATTTCCATTTTTTTTTTTTTTATAGGAGAAGGGGCAAACGAGCATGCGGCTCACCTGATGGTAAGTGACTACCGCCGCCCATGAACAACCGCAACACCAGGGGAATTGCAGATGCGTTGCCGGCCTTTTGATAACATTAATACCTATGGAACTTGTTGTTTTGATTCGATCCGATATTTGTTAGGAATAAAAAGCGTGATAGAAACACGGTGCAGCTACATTATGGTTAAGCTCGAAAGGGTCGCCTCGACCGGGGTAGGACTACGTTCTTACATAATACTAGCGTACAATAACAGCTCAATGCTGCTTTGTTTGCTATGTTAAGTTTAAGCAACCGGAGATCCTCCTTATTGGAAGCGAGTCATTCCATCTCAGTCTTCACGAGTGACAGCGCATCTGCATTTTGATTCTTAGTTGATGATAAATGTAGATTTCTATATGCCATAGCATTCACGTACCATCGGGTTAACTATGTGCTCTTTTGTCAACCTTATTCTATAAAATAATAAAATAAAAATAAATAAAGTAATCATTTTTATGTACGAGTGAGTTTAATTACGCTTTCTACTAAACGAACCTTATCTTTATCCTTATTGTTTATTTTAACCAGTCATATTTACACGCACTTAAATTTGTATATATAATATAAAAGATAACTTAAACACGTTTTATACCTAATATTTTGTAAAGTTAAACATCTTATTTACTTTGGTATAAATTTAGCTGCGCCATCTGCAGACGACTGTGTTCATTAATTTTAATCAATTCTGTTCCAAGCAATTTGTTAAATGCATGAATTTTGTTCGAATTTAACGTAAAACTGCTAAAAGATTTATTATTTTATCCCATCTTTATTAAATTTTGCAATTGCAATTAAATAGATACATACATAAATAAACATGCAGTATGAATTATTATAAACCAGTTTAAAAAAAAAAAAAAAACTTTGTTCTTGTTTTACTTTGCTGTCTGTTATCAGACATTTCCATAATGTCTTAAATAGCAAACATATCCCTCTTACCTCCATCATGCCAGTACTGCTGCTCCTCACCCCAGTCTGTGTAATTTGTGTTCAGATTTTAATAGATTATCAGCGATCACGCACTTTACATACCCATCTAGATATACAGCGATTTTTTATAGGGTGACAAACGAGCACACAATCCACCTGCTGGTAAGTGGTTACTGTGATCCATAGACATCCACATCTATCCTCAATAAAGAATCAAAATGCAGATGTGTTGTCACCCGTGAGGTCTAAGATGGAATACCTCTTTTCCAGTAAAAAGCGCCGGCGATTCTCTACACTCACCATATGAAACACAGCAGTGTTAACCTGCTATTTTACGCTGGTATTCTGTGAGAGCGTGGTCCTTCCCCGGTCGAGCCGACCC